CAAGAGAGAAATACAAATTTGTTCCAACATTTTTTTCTGAATTTTGTAAGTAAAAAGAAATTATGTGATATAACAATACAAACAATCTAAAGGGAATTTTAGAAAATACTTATCAATAAGCAAAATAAGTAAGAGGCTGTTTCTATTCATGACTTTTACGTGGAATTTGGATAAAGCCTTCCCTCTCAGGACGCTTAACTAAGGACCTACAAACCGAATTGGACTTTTTGATATTGTTAAATCACTGTCTGTAACCCATTTCTCTAGAAAAGTCTGGTGTTACCACAGGATCTCCCTCTGCAGTAGCTGAGCAGACTTCCTTTTCTCAGTGTATCCTTTCTCTACTATTTTCCTCTATCATGTAACTCTCTTTGTGTGGCTGAACCACCAAGGCATTTGAATTTGTCGTCTAAACCGATTTATTAGAAGTTGGGGAAAAAGTGAGCAAACTCTAATATGTCTTTTATAGAGTTTGGAAATTCAAAATTCAGCATGTTGTTTACACTTCAGTAAACACATCTGACTGTTTCCACAGATCATTTGTAACACACAACCTTAATTAGCAGCAAAGCACATAAAGGTATTATTGAATTTTCGTTATTTGGGATTACTGAAAACAATCACCTTTTGCAAATTATCTCCATATCTTCTTTTCATTTCATATGACTTTATTCTGTTTTAGAAAAGCCTGGCCAGTTTCTACAGGTCCATTTTGTAGCATTCAGATTCTAGTTTAAGATGTAGTCATTACTGCCACTATGTGGCTTATTTTGAAAGTACTTAAAAATGAAACTTATACTTAACAGCTTTGAACTTAAAAACAATAAACTTGACATTTTTCTCAAGTCAGCAGATATTCGCTATATACAGTCATGTGTTCCTCAATGATAGGGATATGTTATGAGGAATGCATCATTATGTAAATATTCTTGAGCATAATTACATAAACCTAGTTGGTGTAGGTCAATCACTTGGCATGGTGTTTTGATATAATCAAGAGATGTGGTAAACACAAGACTTATGAGGCTACTGCAACCATACAGTTTTACAGTATACTTGTACATTTGTGTATGTATATAGATTACATTCCAAAATAATGATTAAGAAGTATGGTATAGCAAATATATAAACTAGTCAGTCATTATCAATTATGTATAGTTACACATGCTATAATTTTACATATATATATATGTGAAATGAGAAAATTGCCAGAAGTAATATTTTAGATTTCAGAATAGATGTTTAAAATTTTAACACATTGTTGATTTGTTTCCCTAGAATTTAGCATCAATTCTACCTTTCCCAGATATTGTTTTTGTTGTTGTTTTGTGTGTTTTATTTTTTTTCTTTTTTGGCACTGGTGGTTTAACCGAGGGTACTCTAAAACAGAGAGGGCGGGGATGTGGTAATTTGAGAAAGGGTCTCCCTAAGTTGCCCAGGCTGGCCTTATATTTTAAGTCCTTCTGCCTCAGCCTCCTAAGTGGCTGGGATTACAGTTGTGCACTTTTTTCTTAAAATGTAACTTTCTCTACTGTCATACTATATAGAGTGCAGTTACATACCTTCCTAAAAGTACATCATGCATCTGTTTCTGTGAAATTCTTGTTCATGTCTTTGTAGTTGCCTTTCTTGTTTTTTAGTTGATTTCTGTGCAGCCTTCAAATTGTAATACTGACACGAATACCAATCTTTTTACCAGGTTTTACATTTTAAGTTGATAGTGATCATTTATGCTACTTAATAAAATTTAACATGTTTTCTTCAGGATTTTGAGGTGTTTTACCCTGGTAAGAACTGTCTTTTTCCCTTAAGGTTATGAATAAATGTATCCACATAGTTTGAAACTACTTTTATGCCCATTGCCATGTGGATTCTTTTAGTTTATTAAATCTTTAGTGCATTTAATCTTGATGTAGTCAAAGTATCAAAAGCTTAATGTTCTCTGATTTGGAGGACTAGCTGAGAAAGCCTTACATAATGGAAGTCTTTAGCCCAACACCCAATTTTTTTTTTCCTAGGATTTCCATCATTATTTTATTTCCATGTAGCTCCTTCAGGTATAAACATTTACTTTCATGGATAACCGTTATGACAGCATGTTTATGCTTCAACTCTATTCAGATGCTTTCCGTGCTTCTGTAATAAGGAGTGAAGGTGCTCAACACGTCTGAGTGTATTTCAGGCTCTTCATGTGACACTATTAATTTCACTTTGTATTTTTGAAGCTGCTTAGACAAAAATTTATAAATATCTTATGCTAGACATTTCCTTCTATTAATGTGAAATATCCATCTTTGTCTCTTTTAGAACAAAGTTGGCATGGCATTATATCTTATTTGGTATTATTACTTTATAAATTGTCTTTTCTATAATATGGGGGGGTGTCATCACTCATCCTATTTGTCATTGTCCTCTATTGCTTTCACATAGGTGACCGAATTTATTGTCAGTGTTGTGAATATCTTAATACTCAAATCTAACTCCCCTGTTATTGTCATCATGAAAATCATGATGCATATTTATCATTTTTATTTCCATTTTACCATTCTCTGTCATTTACCCTCCTTATTAGTTTTTGTTCAATCAGTGAATTATTTTTCTCTTTTATTCTGGTAATATCACTGAATATGTGTACATATGTGCATAAAATTAGTCAGCATTTCCATTTTATCCTAAATCTGTTCTCAACTATAGTCAGGAGTTTTTTTTTTTTTTAATCTCATGAGGACACACATGATACAAGTAGTGGCTGCCTGGAGTGTCATGTTTACATAGAATCTAAGATCATGTATGATTAAGACCTAGAAAGAATGAAGTAACGAGAAGAAAAATTAATTCAAGAGCACAGAGGTACATTTGATTATAAACTCATTGTATGATTTTCCTTTCTGAAACTTGTTTCTTATGGTTCAGAGATAATATTCCTAGAAAACAACTTAAAGATTATATCTCATGAGGTACAGGAGTCTAAATAAGATCGTCAAGAGTAAAGCCAAAGATTAGGACTAAAAGAGTGAAATTCTCAAAGTAATTATCTGGCAACAGAGTGAAGGAGAATAGTGGAGTGTGTGTGTGTGGAGGAATATATATAAATTAATTTCCTCTAGAATTCTGAAAATATTATAAGGTTTACAACATCATTATCTATGAAAAAATATTAGCTAATAGAGATCCAATTAACTGAATGGACTAAAATATACTTTTATGTGCTTTTTGGCTATCAGACACTGTTGCCATGAAGTGCAGTGAGAAGACTGATTCATCTTCAGTGGCACTTACCTAATCTCAGAAGCCTGGTGTGTGTGAGAAATGGGATGCACTGGATGTCATTATCGATGTCCTGGTCAGGACCCAGGCAAAACTGGCATTCCACAATACTGATGCCTAACTCTCATGTTGCCAACCCTCTTCTCATAATGTACCTCCATATGCATATGATTTCCTGCAGTATTCAAAGGCGGAAAGGCATCCTGTGACTGCGCTGGAGAAAATGATGGAGTCAAGTTTTGGCGGCCCCCAGTCATTCCCTGAGGTTCCTTCTCCCGACAGAGGAAGCCAGTCTGTTAAACACCACAGGTACTAGTAGCTGATTATTGTGGGAGTGGGTTTGTTTACACAGTGTACACTCTGGACACACATGCCGAAAAATGGCAACATGGGATTGTTCTTGATTCTCCTATAGTTCTCCATGGAGGAGATGTTCCAGCAGCTCACAGCAGGTAAACAAAAGACACTGGCTTCCCTAGCAGGCAACATTGTGCCTACAAGAGCCTGAAGGAACCATTAACAACACCCATCAGAGCTATAGGCATAGACCAGTGAACAGAACAATTGCATTCTGAAAAACTATTAAAACATGATTTTTTCCTAGCCTGCCTCATCATTACTAATGCCTAATTCTTCCCTCGGCAGCTGGTGTGAGATGCTCCATGTCTTCCAACATGGTCCTCACAAAAGAAAATTTTCCAGGGGGATATCCTGGCGAACCTTCTCTAAAACCTTGTGTTATTAGTGGAGGGGCACTCTTTTGTAAGCTGACCACAGCAATTGGGTCTTTTAGAATGTCATAACATATATTTGCCTTTCTTTCTCAAAGTGAACATATTCTGTAGCATCTTCTAGCTCACAGTGTTCTGCTTTATACACGAGGTTCTTGTACTCCAAAAAATGGAAGGTATCTCTTCCAAACCAAGTGGTGAAGTTTGTTGGAAATAATGTTATAGTGGATAGTATGTTTTTGTATGTGTCAAAATGGACCTCTTCAATCTTTGCACAAATTGAAAAAGGAAGCTTCAGTCTTTGGACAATTATCAATCTATAGTACCAAGTTTTCTACTTTCAATTAAAACTTTATGCTGCTACAAAAACAGGTACAGTAGCTTAAACATAGAATATATGTAGTAAATTGAAATTTTGAATGTGACAGTAAATACTACCAATGAAGGATAACTGTTATCAACCTTTGTTTTCACATCTCAGCAACACTTTGCACACAACCCCATAAGAAACACTTTTTAAAAGGAAACAACCTTTTCCTTCACTTCTTAATGAACCTTAGGAAAGGACTTTCCTGTTTGTACCCACAGTTATGTTGAAATTTTCAATCATTCTTACAATAATTATCAACATACTATTTTTAAAAAATTTCCATTCCATATGAAACTGAAATAGAGGGTTTAAGTATCTTAAACTCACATTTTGGTTTATATCATTTGTTTCATTTACAGAATACTTCCCCATGGAAAGAGCATTTCACTTTAATGGACTTTAGTCCAAAATTCCCAGCCTTTTAGAAGATGGATATTTTCACCCAAACAGTATTTTCCCCTGTCGATTAGAGCAGAGTATTTTTCCAGTCAAGTAAGAGAGTTTAGTGAATCATTGTAGTACTGAATTGTCATAAAGTTGAAATTTTTAAGAATCATATCAGAGCTGAAATATACCTTTGTTCTTATTTGTATATTTATTCTGAAAATTGGCTTCTACTCAGGCTTTTAGGAGTCACTCACAGATTAAATAAGGACATCATTAAGACATTGTCCTTTTGTTCAGTACAATGACATTGGAGTATCTGTTGACATACATTGTGTCCTGATAGATAGGCAACCAGTGATTTATAAAGTGCCTCTAGAATTTTGTAAATTATAGTTTCATACATCATAGTTTTTGTTTTGTAAAACATGCAATAGACTTAAACATTTTCATGATTGATAACCTGGTCACTGATTTATTTATCCCACAAACTGTTCCATAACATCCTGAATAGCTGATTGACCAGTAGATGCAGACTATTATTTTTAAGATGGATTACTTCCTCATATGGGTAGATTTTGCTGTTGTGACAGTTTACCAAGCTATATGAATAATTAATTTCTTTTTGTGCACTAAAAATATAGCTCATTTGGATAACTTATTTGTGAAACAAAGCCATTATTTCTAATGTTTAGTCCAAAAATTCCCATCTGTTTAAAAAAAAAATCTACCATGCCATCCTTATTGCACATTTTGACAATCTAACTTGCTCAAAGAAAGCACATATATAGGTTTTCTATGGTGACATGACTCCAGGACTTTCAGTGATTAGGAGAATGGCAGAAGAACAAGACGAAAACTTTCTTTTGAGCATCTACTATTTGCCAGGCTCCACATTAAATATTTGCATATATTTTAGCTTCCACTCTGATCCCATGAAAAAAAATAAGCACAATACTGATACCTTCCTTTTGCTGCTCCCTACTCCCACCCCTGTGTACCAGAAGAGCTACAGGCTGTTTTGTCCCCTGGCTTCTCTTGGCTCAATGGGAAATGGTAAGGTGGTGGCATCTCTTCCCCTTCCTTCCTTGGTAGCCTGAGCAACCTGTCTTCTGGGGCCCACAGACTCTGCCAGATGGTCTTATCCTTACTCTCCTGACTGAAGGGCCAAGGAACAAGAGAGAGAGAGATAATAACTTCCCCTTGTTAGCAGTGGTAAGGACAACAGTCTCTATTTCCCCCCTTTCAAATATAGGCTATACACTCTAAATTCTACAACCTTACTTTGCTAAAATTAAAATAGCATTTATTTCCCTCCAAGTCTGATACTAGTCTCAATTCCAGTATCATGCTCCTAGTAAGGTTCAGACCTGAGATTTTATACTTAGACATAGTACACTCTAGCACCTAGATTCCCATACCTGACAGACTCTTTAATTCCCAGGGCATGATAGCTAGAAGTAGGGAGGGGAACCATAGTTTCTAATAGAGAACTTCTTAGAGACCTAATTATACACCACTTGTTGGGAAGAATTTTAGCACTCAGCATACAAAGAATATAAAAATAAAAGCATAGTCATTTTGCTGGTTATGATCTGGTGTCTGCCTAAATTGAAGAAGTTCTATATAGTTCAATCAGTTATCTTGCCAAAACCAGAAAAGTGGTTACTAGCACTCAAATATAAAAATGAAAATTTTGGTCATATGTTGACATTTATCAAGTAGAAATAAATGTAATATTGATGGGAAAAAATGACAGAAACCAAACAATTTAGTGATATGGTAAAATTCCTTTGGAGGGCCTCTCCCTTTTAGGACTTGATAGGCTTATTGAAATTTTGTGGATATTTTTCATCTTTGTTTATATGGTTGAATTGATATTTTCAGATGTAACATGGATCCACAAAATTCTTTGTTCATTTGTAGGCATTTCATGAGATGCTAATTGTTGAGTTCAAACAAAGAATGAACTCAGTTCTCCTTACTAGTCTAAGTAGGGTCAATTCAGGGGGTGGAGATGGGAATCTGTGTGGAATAAGTAATGAGTCAAATCAGCAAGTACTGTTTTGAGGGTGCAAACTGAGGAAAGGATCCAGGGTCTCACACATGCTAGACATGTAAGTGATATCTCTAGCCCTTTTTAAATTGTATTTTGACGTAGGGTGTAAGTTGCCCAGGCTGACCTCAAACTTGTGATTCTCAGTTTCCTAAGTAGCTGACATTACAAGACCATACAACTGTGCCTGGCTAGCAATTGAATTTTTTTTTTTATACAATCTAGTTCTTTTGTTTTATGTAAACTA